CTTGTGATTCTGACTCATTCACTGGTTCGAAGTAATCATGAATTTTCGGATTCTTCACTAACTCAGATAGTTGTTGACTATTTCCTTCTATTTTATAATATTCCTCACTTAAAATATCTGCTAGTTGATTCTCTTTCTCTTCGTCCCTGGAACTTACCTTGCAAGGTCTGCCCTGCCCCCTTTTTTTTGCATTTCTAAATGACTTATTCGTTGTGGGGAACGGGACAGAAGTCCTGGGTTAGGTTCAACTCCAGCAATAATTAGTAATACTACAATTAAATCCAAGGGCAAACTGTTATCAAATTTCCAAATCTTTACATAATTCATTTTTCCTTCTATAATGTCGTTTTCGTACTCCAATCTACAAAGTCTCAGCACCTCTTAAAAGTTCACTCGCACACTAGACGCGCAGCTCACACTCCCAATGACTTTGATTAATAATCATTGTATTTAATTTTATTACACTGTTTACATTATGTATTAATATTTATTATTATTATTATATTATTATGATTATCATTTTATATATATATAAAATTTCAAGTTTCAAAGTAAGATTAAGTAAATACAAAACTATCTTTAAATTTATAAATAAAAACTATTAAAAAATGACTATATAAAAGACTCCAAAACTTTAAATAATAAAAACAAAATTAAATGCTTTAATGAAGTCTATTTTACAACAAAATTTGGTTCTGAATTCTGTTACAAAGTATACCCCCTTAAGGACCAATTTCACAAGTTTTAATTTTAAGGTCAAATGCTTAATCTATAGAATTATTCTCAATGCATTATATAAGAGCAGAATTACAAGGTAAATTGTCAGTTACGTTAATCAGCTGATTTGTTGAAATTTATTCTGTAGATTATTGAAAAATAAGATGGCTGACATCAATTCTGATTCGTATATGGATGACCTTTTATTTACTCTATTTTATGCTTATAGTCAAGAAATAACTAAATTATATTTTAAATAACATAATAAAAAAGTTATTTTCCATCATAAAGTGGTATATTCAAATACTATAGACTGTATCTGCAAAATCTACTAATATGTGTTTGTAGTTATTTGCTTTTCATCCTCCATCTTGTTTACACAACCTTGATAATATGACTGCATAGTAAGAATTTTTTTAGCTAAGTGGCTGGTTGATAACTGCTGAGTCAAAGTATCTCAAGCAACAAGCATATCTAATTCTTTAAATTTGTGAGAAGGTTAAAATTATTACCCATATAACTTCTGGTATATTCTGTAGTTTAAATGGTAACTTGTGCAATTGGCCCTAAAGCATTTAATTTTGTCTTTGTAAGAAATGACTATTTTTACTATTTTAGAAATAATGACAACACTGATGCAACTATTACAGCATTTTTTCAATCATTATATTTAATACATATTATTTAATATTAATAACTGTAAATAATTGCATCACTTTTATCACAATAAAAAAAATTATTCGTAACTACTAGGGTTTCTCATTTCCTGGTCCTTTGCTTGTCCTGAGATTTCAAGAAAAAGTGAACTGTTTCCTGAGATCCTGGGAAACCCTGGGATATAATTAATTATTTTTAAAATATAAAATAAATCTTGAAATTGAATGATATACAGTAGAACCTCCATTATCCGGATTTTCGATTATCTGGATTGTTCAAAATAAACAAAAATTTTACGAATTTGCTGATTTGCACTTGGCAAATTACGACACTGTTTATGTACATGATGGAATGCATAACTTTTTTTGTTTCAACAACGTCTCATCCAGCACAGTGGTCGTAAACTTTTAAATATATTTTACGTAGTAATAAAAATATAACTTAACATACGTATTTATAAATAATTTATATTCAAATTACATCATTTCTATGACCAAGAGCGGCGTAAGGCATGGACGATGTGGGCCACCGCCTATGCCTCGCGCCTCAAAGGTTTATGCATTACTTAAAAGCCACGAACGCGACAAAANACAACTTGTTGGTTATTCAAGTCAATCTCGACTTTCTTTACATCCAAATTCCGAAGAGCTCTCTCTACTGAATTAACGCATGACTGACAAGTCATTTCAACATCAAACTCAAGCTGGAATTAGGTAAGTTTTATTTAGTTTCTTGATAATGATAATAACGTAATAAAAATCTTAAGCACATACTACCATCATTTTGACGCCATGTTAAGATAGGAAGCATGCTATGCCAATATCTTTGTATGGCTGGTTAGGGTTTCTCATTTCACGGTCTTTTGCTTGTCCTGGGATACTGGCAAAAAGTGAACTGTTTCCCGTGATCCCAGGAAGTCCCGGAATATAATTAATTATTTTTAAGATATAAAATAAATCTTAAAATCAAATGATGTAATTATTTTTCATTTTTAAGTAACTTAATATGTCCTGCAACATCCAAAATAATAATAATAATGCTGTGTAAAATATGTATAAAAAATTTCTTTTGAATTACATAGAAATTTTCACAAATAGAAAAATTTATTAGTTTGTTGAAAACTGCTTACAACAAAAAAATGCCTTTGAACTGAGTTGAAAATTTAAAGAAAAAAGTAAACTTAGATCTTCTAACTTAGAAGGTAATTTTAGTTTTTTAAATAAAACATAATACAAAATGTTAATGTTAATTTTTATAATAAGATTTTAGAAAGCAAAGATGGTCAATACTCCAATCACTCAATCCAGTTCTTATTTTAGTAATGAAAAGTCCTGCTACCGAGAATACCCTTTCCGATTCAGTTGACATGAGTGTAATTGTCTTTAAAGCATTTAATAGAAGACAGATGTTATGCGTTTTTTCACCTGTAGCCTAGATTTCTAGTTCGTTTTCAAGATGCATTGTAGTAGCCTACTTCTTTTGCCCTCTAGTATTCTTGATTTGTCTACATCAGCTGCTTGCTTTAATAGTGGCATCAAGTTTATAGCCCAATAATTTGGCAGTTGTTTGGCTTTAATAATCAAGTTTATGAAGAAAAACTTCATACTTGCATACTTCATACTCATTTGTATCCTTGCCCAATTTGCACAATCTAATATAATGCAGTTATTCTAGCTAGTGGATGGTTAAAAATAATTGTACTGGTGCTGTTTTACAGCATCAGCATAATTATTCAAGATATTACAGATTCTGAAAAGTAAAGAGTTTTCAGAGTCCTGCCACAAATAGGCTACATATTGATTACTAACAATCTGTGACATGCCATAAGCAAAAATTTTAAAAATGAATAAGCAGGCTTAAAATTAATACAGATGTATTCTGACAGTTTATGAGTTAATTATACTTTCTATTTGCAAAATTTCCTCAATCTTAACACAAAATTAGAAAAAAGTGAACTTTTAAGAAATTTGCAGGATTTCCCAGGATGAAAACAATATCCCAGGTTAAGAAAAATAGCCAGGATCTGGGATCCTGCTAGAGAAACCCTAGTAACTACTATTAAGGTATTTAAATATTGAAATTTCTTTTCATGCATTATATGAGAATAGAGAGTGCAATATGCAATAATTGAAAATAGCATACTAAAATGCACTAAGTTATATCAGAATCAATATGTACATAAGATACAAACAAATAGCTAACTTTACAAACCAGTTTAAAACTGGAATTATAGTAGAGTTCTGATTAATTGAAACAGTTTTTTTTATGTTAAATGAATAGAAAAAGAGTACTTTGTCAATAAAGACAAGAGAATGTAATACAATATACTTCATTTCACATATCTTGGCTGGGTGTGGTCCTTGAAAATGGATCTAGAAATTTAAAACAATTTACTCTAATGACTTCTCATAACAACATGTATTTTGAACAAAGATTAAAGAAATTTTAATGGTAACTGTATGCTTACATTTGCTTTATAAATATAGTTGTATTTAATCTAGTATAATATAATTGTATAACATTTAATCTAAAAATAAAATATGTTACACATGAAAATGCAGCCAAATAAAATTTATTTAATAATTTACCAAATATTTTTGTATTTTCCAAGGTATGGGGCCGTCCATAAATTATGTAAGGTATTTTGGGGTAGGTGGGGTCAAAGATTTCTTACGATTTCTTACTCAGGGGTAGGGGAGTAATAAATCTTATTTTTATTTTTTGATCTCGTTGAGTGGTGGAGTTTTGAATTTGGCTTCAATTTGGTGGTTTCTATTAAGAAGGCTCATTGTACCAATGCCATCTTGTGTGACATGATAGAATAATAACGCTCTATGCAATTTTTTTATTGTGGAAGAAAGGCCATGTGATGATTTCTCTCTCTTCTCTTTTCTTTTGTTTTGTATGACTTTTTGTTTACACGTTTACTAGCTAGTCAATCTGTCGAAGTTTTTTCTGCATCCTTTTGTGAAAATTAAAATTAATAGAAAAATGAATATTATGACATTGATTAATGATGATAATAATGAAAAGATTGTTAATAATTAAAAAAATAAAGTTCTTAAAATAAATTGTTCATTCGAATTCATTAAATTTTTATATTTTTAAATTTGTTCACATAAAGTCTTTTATAAATAATAGTACATATTAATTAACTAATTAATAATTATATATTTTGGACCTAAGATTATTTGGGTTTCATAAAAAAAAATTTTCTTGTTAAAATCTTTCTTTAAAATCATGCTTAAATTTTACGTAAGATAGGGAAGGGAAGGGAGGATCAAAGAAAATATTACAGTTTCTTACACGGGTGGGTGGGGGTCTAAAATGGCCAAAATCATCCTTACATAATTTATGGACGACCCCTATCCTTAGTCTATATTAACTCAAATAATCCACATTTTACTGTATTCTTTTTTATATAATTGAACATCATTCTACAATTTTATTAATCATTTAAATTTTTCTCCTTTCCTTAACAATTAAAAAGTTAAGAATTGTTTTAAGAGTTGCAAGATTAAGTTCACCACAGCAAAACTTCAAGATAATATAAAGATTATATTCATATAAATATCTGTATAAGTACATAAAATATATCTTAAAAATTGAAAAGATTGTAAACTTACTATATAAAAATTCTGATGTTTGCAAAGTTTAATAAATAATTTATGAGTACCAAATTTTACAAGTGGATGATCTGAAGGCACATTTAATGATAATTGTTCACTAGCCATTGCTGGCAAATGTTGAATTGTTTTCTCACATCGTCTCATTGTTATCCAAAACCTATTTTAAAAATATAAAAAGTTTTTATATTTCTAAATGTAACAGCATTGTAAAATATATAAGATATTTAGATTTCTGTTTTAAATTTCTTTGAAAGATGTTTAAAAATGAAAACTGAAGCATCAAATAAATCATGAAAATATCAAATCTTCTCGTAAAATGATAAAAGTATCAAAATTTTTTATTTTAAGATTAAATTAAGATGAGAGAAGCATTTAGAATGCCAATAGAACTTCCAACAAAATGTACATTAAAAACTAATAAAAAAAATTGCAAAAGAAATTACTAAAAATTTTTAATTTGTTTTAAAATTTATTAAATACATTTTCAATATAAAATCTGAAGAATATATTTTTGATTATTGATTTACATTTTAATAAATTAAAGTCCTCCCATTTTATATTTATTACATAAAATAATAAGATATTATATAAAGTCATTTTCCAGCAAGTAATTTACGGTAAATTACCTGAAAATTTATGAAATATAAAGTAATTTAAGCAGAACTGAGTTATATTACAATAATTAGAATTTCATTACAAACCTTAATTCAGATATTAAACTTTCCAGTTTGCTTAAATCTTTATTAAACGCTTCCTCTATATCATCCATAAATGGTGGATCTAAACATTTTAAAAAATAATAATAATGATTAAAATTCAATTATATAGCTGTATAAAAATTTCAAATCAAAAATAGTTAATATACAATTTATTTCATATTTACCAAATTGTGGCACATGTGCAAGGAAAAATCCTGTGTGTGTATCAACAGTAACTAACAACTGTTCAGACTGCATGCAAGGCTGAAGTAAAGGAATGTGTAAAACAGCTGGAGAACCAGATATAACACCTAAATTTTATTGAAATATATACATATTTAATATAACTTTTACACTAATCTAAATTAATATTTTACGTCTTGCAAATTTCTTACATTCACTTATTCCCAACTTTGGCTTTATTTCATCTCTTAAATCTGCTAATCTGTGTTTTGTACGAACATGAACTGTATGTATTAGAAGTTTTTCAATTGATAAATGGTCTGACTGTAAAAATTATTGACATTTGTTATCAATATTAAAATATTTATTATTAATTAAATAGATAAACATTAAATAAATAAAATTTAATATTAATATTAAAATATAGTTGTACATAAATTAACAAATTCATGATTAAGAGATAAAATTTACAGCTGAAAGTCTGAAGATCAAGAAATTAGAAGGATAAGTTTCCTAATTAATAATTATCATTCCAAATTTATTATTTCTATAACTGATGTGAGAGCCCAACTTGGTAAAAAAGTTTTTTGAAAAAAAAAAAATCATAGGGGATATGATTATATCTTTTCCCATGAACTTGCTTCCTTGTCCAAGGTGACACATCAAATGTGTCCCCAGAAACCTAACTGAAAAAAACTTACCATTAAACTGTAGAACTAAATACAGTAGAGCGTCATTTATCCGAATCAATTAGGGACTGGGGTTGTTCGGATAACTTATTTTTCGGATAACCAATTATGCATGAAAAAATATATTAACCTATCCTGTGTTGAAATTTTTTCTGTTGTGTATCACTTCGCGTTGAATTTTCATCAGTTTAACACTGATGAAAGCCTAATGTAAACTTTTTAAAATAATAATCGTGGCTATTGTATCGTTAAAAATTATTTCTTTAATTTTTACAAACAAAATAAATATATTGAAAAATATAAAAACAAAAAAAATTATAGTTTAGAAGTTAATCTAGTATCAAAAATGTTCAATTCAGCATGACATACAAAATTGCTAGTGCTGCCAGCTAAAACACACACATCAATAAAAAAAATATTGGAGTAGCCCAAGATATAGCCAAAGATTGCAGCACCACAACACTAGTGAAAATTTAAATTTGCCGACTGGAATTCTTTCGGATAACTGATATTTCAGATAAACGACACTCTACTGTATTACCAAAAACGGGCAAGAAAAGTGAGGGGGAGGACCCCAAAATAAAAGAACAGGTCCAATGATGACACAGAGAGTTTGTACATCCTCAAAGGTTGGTCATGTGCACTTTGCTGTCGATACTCCAATAATAGCCAGTAATCAGAAGCCTAATTGCTGACAGCCAATGACCCAAAGGACCCCAAGTACCCACCAAGGACTATAGCGTCGCCTCCTCCAAAAAAAGAGCCCAAATAAAGACAGCAATCTTCAGGTAAATACCACACACAAGCGTTTGTAAACTCTCTCTCTCACACTTAAAGCTTATATGTAAATTTTATATAATCAATAAATGGGTATTATTTTTCACAATCAAGTTGTAGAGTGCATTTCTTTCGCCAATCTTTCTCCATCCTAAATCCGACCACCTACAGACACAACTGCTTGTGCAAAAGACAAACTTAATGGCCATCGAGGTTTCTGTGTCTGTCCTTAAAGACATAGTGGTGTCAGACCTGACAACTCAGTCATCGCCCTTCAGTCCCATGATCATAGCAGGTCACTTCGTGCATTGTCATACTAGCAATAGCTATTTTTGAAAATATATTATAAGAATGCAAGTATACTTTAAGAAAAGATGATAGAGTTTTTTTAAATAGTATATTTTATTATTAATTTTACTTAATTTTCATTGTTACCTTGATAGCTTGGTCAGCCAATATCGAATCCTTGCCAGTTAATGATGGAACATGTGATACTTGAAGTGGTTTACTACTATCTATTGGATCAACCTGAACACACAATTTATATTCTTGATTTTCTCTGGCAATTTGTTCTCTGTTTAAAAAAAGCAAAATTTCTTGTGTAATATAATTACAGTTATATACTAAATAAACTAATACAATTTAATATTTTAACAGCATTGAGGTGATGTATATAAAAGATTTTTTCACATATTACTTGTCATACATATTTCCTTAAAATACCATTTTTAAAAAAGCCACTCTTTAATTGTAATAATATAATATAGATAATATATTAGTACTTTAAAATAAAACTTAAAATTTCTACAATTCTCTATAATTTTCATGAGACCTAATTACACGATTTGATTTAAAATTAAAAATCCTTTAAAAAATGATGTAATACTAGATACAGATTAGCATTTAAAATTTCAAAGTTATAACTATTAATATTTTGTTCTTTAAAGGTAAAAAAGAGTACAATTGTTACATCTATTAATACTCTCAACAATTCAAATTACTATTTCTACTAGCCCTGCATTAAAATGCCTTGGGTATGGAAAATTTGTAAAAGCCTATTTTTAATAATCTCATCTATTAATATAACTTTTGTAAGTAAACCTTTTTTGGTAAACCAAAAAACATTTTGGATAAAAATATACAAAATTACACACATGGATCTGTCAGATCCAGGCAATTCAAAAAAGAACTAAATCAGCAATACAGTGAGTGATCAGTTAATGAACAGTTTGGACTGCGAGCAAAAAGGCCAATGAACACTTTTGCAAAAGATTATGTTCAAACAACAAACACCTGCAAAATAAACTCAAAAAGAAGCAATACTGCATTTAAGATTTGTAAAACTATATTTTAATGGCATCTATGCATGGTTTATGGAATGAGACTTTCACAGTTTATACATAACCTTTTTTGTACTAGTTAATTTTTGTTCTCTGAATTTTTTTAAATAAAAAAATTGATAATATTATGGAGCCTAAAAAGAGTGGAGTGTCAAGAACTGTGCTCACCATAGAAACCAAGCAAGAGATAATAGCCAAGGTAGAGAATGGGCAGAAGATGTCTGATGTTGCTAGTCAGTATGGCTTGAACAGGTCTACAGTAGATACAATCTTAACTAAGAAAGATATAATCAAAACGACTCAAATAAATAAAGGAGTAACAAAAATTGCACCTGAGAAACAAAGATGTGCCATCCATGAAAAAGTGGAGAGAGTGCTTTTCATTTGTTATTACATATAACAAACTAAAAGCAATAATCATAGAAAGTATATAATTTATTTATTTATTTTTTGGGATCTCCAGAACGAATTAATCAAATTCCCACAAAAATCTATGGTAAATCAATAATCGGATAGCAAACATGGTCTTGGAATGGATTATGTTTGTTAACTGATCACCTGCACAACCTTTCTGAGACACTTAGTTAGAATCTAGAGTTAAGAGCTTAATTTTAGTTATTTCATTAAAATATTTATTTAAAATTATTTTGATAGCAAATTATTTATATAAAGTTAAGAAGGAAACTTCCTGTTTCTCACAGAGGGGAAAACAGCTCAGTTTCTTCAAAAGTGATAGTTTGAGTGCGATGTCTCTCTATCGTGGGACCGCACAACTTCCACCACACAGCGGAAGAGTGGTGGGATTTTCAAATAATTCTATTGGATGGAATTTTAGTATAAAAGATGTGAAGTCACCTTCAAACATGCTCTTACTAAGACTCTTGCCAACACTCTCATCTCTCTCCCAATTCTCAACTTTTACTCATTTCCATGAACTCTCAACTCTCCACATTGAATATGGATGTATAACAGGTATTATAATTTTAATATGTAAACTCTCTCTGTTGAAATTAGAAGTTCTCGCTTGAATAATTGTCACAACAAAGATTTTGTTTTATTCATATTTTTATTTGTTTATCGAACAGATTTTCTACAATAAATCATTTATCCTAACTGGTGTCAGGACTCTTGAGAAAGCTTTCTCCGATTTTTCTTTTATTTTACATTTCTATCCTGAATGTGGAATGAGCTTATCCCAAAGTCCCCACTTCTTACAACTTTGTGCAATGAAATAGTCTAAGATTTCCATTTTTGTTAAACATTTAATTTAAACAAGAAGTTTCAAAGAAAAGTTTACAATTTTTCTTTGAAACTTTTTGTAAAGGCTAAAATAAATCAATATCAAGTATAATAATAATAAGTGTAACAATTTATAAAAATGCAATTACATTTGTAGTAAATGATGATAAACTGTAGATAAACTGATAATCTTTTACTTCTATACCAGGAATGGCAAACCTTTTTTAAGTCTGTGTGCCATATAGTGTGTATAGCTAACTTTAAAAATGTTTATGCATGACAAAGTTTTAGACTTTGAATAATAATATTTAAAGGAATTAAATGAATACGCTTTAATTAGAATAAATGTAAAGAAGCTGACTGAAAAAAGATGATCACATGATAAATTGAAAGGATGACTGAAAAAGACAATGATAAATCAAAATTGTATGATATGTTATGTGCCACACGATTTCTCCTTACATGCCACTTTGGACACACATGCCATATGTTGCCAACCCCAGTTCTATACCAAGATCTTACAACTGATCTGTGTATCAAAATTTCCATCGGTTTCTTCCAGCTTTATCTTCCTCAGACATATTTTTCACCATTTTTTTAATTTCAATATGTACGGTACATTCTTACTTTGTGCCACTGGTATTGCAAGGGAACAAGTCTTGCTGCTGTCTCCAGAACACTAAGATTTATTATTTTGCTGCTTTTATACTAATACAAAACTTAATAATGACATTTTTTATAATTAACTAATAATTTTACTTTTTTTTATAATTTTCTAATTATATTTCTAGAATTATTAATGAAATTTTTGAAATATTTATTAATGAAAAAATAAATGGAAACATCATCAAATGATTGCCTAAATGATCAGTCTATAACTCCTCTGGAAAAATAGATGAATAGCATCTGTAATCTTCCATACTTTGCAAATAATAAAAAATTAAGAAAGAAATAAAAATAATAATTTGAAATTTGATGAAAATATTTAAAATTTTAATCAATTCATTTTATTTAAATATCTTAATTTTCTTTATAATCAGAATGAAATAAGTTAAAGACTTCATTAAAATTTGCTTATTCTATTTTTTTTTTTGTTTTTACAGTAGAGCATCGATTATCTGCCTCAATTGGGGACTCAGGCTGGTTGGATAACTGAAAAAATCAGATAACCGAAAAGAATGAAAAAAATACATTATTAGTATAGTATATTAGTATATCGCATGTAATTAGTATATCACTATTAATTAGTTAAATGTAATTAGTATATTAGTATATCGTTATCCTACTTCGCATTGAATTTTCATTGATATTGAGCTTAACAAAAATTTTTTTTAAATAATAATCATCGCTATTGTATCATTAAAAATTATTTTTAAATTATTTTATTGCTCACAAAACAAACAACCACTCATAATTAGAAAATTAAGTCTCGTTTAAATACTGGCCTCCCTTTCATGGTCGAGCCAGTGTTGCCAGCTAAAACATGCAAAAATTAAAAAAATAATAATATTAAAGTAGCCAAGACATAGCCAAATATTGTAGTGCCACATCACTAGCAGACATTTGAAATTTGCCGACTAGAACGGTCGGTTAACCAATGTGACGGTTAATCAAGGGTCAGATAATCGATGCTCTACTGTATTGATTTAATAAATATCATTTAATAGATCAAACTGTATTAACAATCAGTCTAATAAGGTAATATACTTTAATTAAATAATATATATTAACATAAATTTTAGCAATAAATAATTATTTTATTAAAATATAGCATTTTATTTGATTGCTATTTGAATTCATACTTCATAAAATTTTTTAATTATGTAAAATATACCTCCAATACGAAACAACAAGATGACTACCAGCCATATATTCTTCGACACGAATGAAATCTTCTAATCTTTCCTTTTTTAATCTTAAAACCTGAATAGAATTATTATAAGATCAAAAATTATATTTTTATGTAAATACTAATAGAAGAATAAATTAATGACTTCTGCAATTTTCCATATTACGTAAATAATGAAAAGAGAGAAGATAAATAAACCTAATAATTTAAAATTTAATAGTGTTAAAATTTTAGTTAATTTCTATTATTTAAACATTGAAATTTTCTTTATAATTACAATCAGAATAAAATAATCTAAATGAAATAAAAGAGTAATAATAATAATAATAATAAATTATTTTANATATAATATATATATATATATATGAGGGATCGTGCTGCTTAGCACCAAAACCACCACTTGGCAAAATTTTTATTAAAGTGGTAATAATAATTTAATACAGGTGGCAGTAGGTGGCGATAAAAACCTTAATTTGCTTATTCCAACATTCAGTCTGAAACTGAATCACAAAACACACTTCAGGAAAAACAGTAGAATGTCTAGATCCTATGCATTGGGAGTCCCACATACCACACACCTAGCAATTTCTTGATGTCACAAGGCAAGTTTAGGCAGAAAAACAGGGAGACATTGAGAACTGAAGGCAGTTTTTGTACAATGCTGCTCAGTGTTTCTAGATTGGAGATATTTTATTAACTGACAAAAATTGAAGAATTTTTTGGGATGACTTTTTCCACTTGGATCTTTTTTAAGTATACTAAAACAAAAAATTTTGACATGACAAAATGTGTTATTCTGAATTATTCATTAAAAAATTATTCAAAAATGATTCCTATTGCTAAGAAGAAGAGGGGCAGCTGTTTGGGTCTCTGATTCAAACAAAACTTGGTGAGCTCGTAGCCCTAAACACAAACAGCTTCTTGTCCAATTAATAGAACCCACTTCTCAAGCATTTCCAAAAATTAGACCTCTGAAAATTGAGTGTTTAGCTTATAAGTCTTTGGAAGTTTCATATCTATGATTGGCAATAGCCAAATGGATAAGATTCTAAGTAACGTAAATTCAACCCTTTGCAATTTTAGTTTTTTCTTAAAGTGTAACATAATTATCTTATTATATTTTACCATATCATTAGCATTATTATTACTATTATCATTCCTCGTGTTTAAAGCTTATAAAACAAGCCTCTGTACGTTTAACTCTTTTATGTTGTTAAATAAAACTTTTATTTTTTCACGTTTATTTTCACATATTTTACATACTATGTACTCACAAGTGAATAAGCTTCAGACATTACTGCACATGTACGAAAAAGACAAGTGATATAAAATTAGTATGGCATAGTCACAGCATTTTATTTTTTTAATTGTTAATATTATGAACAATTTCCTCATGCGCTTATGTTTGTTACACTTCAAATGTCACAATACCATGATATTTGAAAATATATATATGAAGAATTAAAAATTTCAGGGCTGTGAGTCAAAGTCGGAGTCAAGAGGAATTTCTGGCCAGAGGAGTCAGAATCGGAGTCAGAAAAAAATGTATCGACTCTGACTCCCGCATTTTAAATTTACTTTAGTTTTTTATTTAAATGAAAGAAAATTTATTATATATTTATTAATTTTTAAAAATATTTTTATATTCTGTAATAATTCATTTATTTTAAATATAAAATACGTCAATTTAATTTATTAAATTTGTAGTGTTCTTTGTAGTATTTGTGCTTAATATTAAAATTATTTTGACCCAATTGAATTTAAATATTTTGGATCATTCCTTTATTATCCCTGTTCTAAATAAGTACTCTATTTTTCTGAATGAACCAGACTAATTGATCAGAGTTCGTATTTTTCTTTTCTGAACAAGGGGCTGAAGTAGCTAGATTGCACACTTTTTAATTGAACTAATGGCAACATTCTATGACAAGGGGATGGAAAAGCTCATCTAAAGATATGACAAATGCCTCAATCTTCACGGTGATTATGTTAAAAAGTAACCATGTCTGTACGTAACTTTTGGTAATAAATTCATTTTGTTATTTACAATTGTCTTTTTTTTTATGGACCATCGGAGCATGAAAAACATCCTATGTATAAAAGCATTTGGGTAAATGCCCAGAGCTCCTTTTAGAGTTCAGAGTAGGATACCCCTATGAGTGCCTCTGCCCCCCCATAAAATGATTTGATATTTAATTTTGCTGGAGTCGAAGTCAGCCTACTAAAATCATCAGGAGTTGGAGTCGAGTGTTTATTTACTGACTCCACAGCCCTGAAAAATTTGATTTAATTTGAATTTTTAATTCAACGTAAAAGAGTTAAATATCAGAGACTTGTTTTCACTAAATGATTTTAAATGTGAGGAATAATAATAGTAATAATAATGACAAAATAATAAAATAATTATGTTACACACAAAAAAAACTAAACTAATATTTGGAAAGTTCAAACCTATATCGTCTAGCCCAACATTTCTCAAACTTTTTGCTCACACAACCCAATATATTTGTTTGTAATGGTTCAGCAACCCAAATGTAAAAGTTTATAATGGTTAACGAACAAATCGGATAACGAACACTTTTGCGAAAGATTTTTATGTTCAAATAACAAACACCTCACAGAACAACACAAGAAGCGACATAAAATAATGAATACCAATTGGTCTTCCCATGTCTTTAGGCAACAATTTGAAACTTTTTGGAATGCAGGAAACGTTGACATTGACACTCAACCCGGTATATACTGCTCAAATCGTATTCCTCCAAACTTTGAAACTCTCCCTTGTAATTCCAGCCTTTTATTTTTCTGACAGAAACAATTCTTTTATAGTATTCGCAAGACTGTCAGGCAGGCACTTGTTAAGTTTTGCATCAGTTTTTATTTTCGAAAGGTGAGAGTATAACAGCAAATGTAGAGTGGGCAGAAGATGTCTGATGTTGCTGGGCAGTATGGCTTGAACAGGTCTACAGTAGGCCGCAGTTCAATCTTATCCAAGAGAGATACAGTATAATCAAGAAGACTCAAATAGTTAAAGGAGTAACAAAAATCACATCTGAGAAATAAAGAACATTGAAGTGCTCATAATGGAACCTGAAATGGGTCTGATGACAGAAGAATACTAAGAAAATCAGTGAGATATGTTTTTTTTCTGAAAAAGAGGAACATGAAAAAGAATTAATGCTGATATCTGCTATTAAACATCTTTTGAAGAAGTGGGAGGATGTCAGAACAATGGTCTTAGAATGGCATCCAAACCAGGTTGAAGTTAATAGGCTTAGGGATCTCTACAATTACAATGCTATTAGTTACTTCTGAAAGATCCTGAAGAAAAAAGAAAAGCAATAGACATTGGACAGATTCTTTAACCCCCACAAATCAAAAAACCACGACTAATAAAAATGCAAGACTGTGTATATATGTATTTTTATTATTACATATAAATAAACGCAGTAAGAAAGTGTATATTTTTTATTTTTTGAGGTCTCCAGAACGAATTAATCAAATTCCCATAAAAACCTATGGTAAATTGATAATTGGTTAATGAACAATTCGGATAGTGAACAAAGTCTTGGAATGGATTATGTCCGTTAACTAATCACTCACTGTATTTCTGCAAAAGATAGTATCATTTTGCGACCCATTGGATTTTAACATATCCGATATTAGGCCTCAACTCACAGTTTGAGAAACACTAGTCTAGTTCCAATGCCTAACATTTTATCCACTTGGCTATCACTAACCAGAAAAGCAAAACTTCCAAAGGCTTATAAGCTAAACAATTTTCTGAGGTCTGTTTTTTTTGGAAACGCTTGAGAAGTGGATCCTATTATTTGGAAAAGTTGACTGTGTCTAGAGCTATATGCTCACTACATTTCATTTGAATTGGAGACCTGAATGTCTGGCCCTCTCCTTGTAAGTGACAAAAAACAAGTTTTTTTTTGCTTTCCAGACACCAAACTGATAAGACTACAAGCACCTGCATTAATTAGTCTGTATATAAAAATGATATATTTAATGCAATGTTATTCACTAAATGTGTGATTCTTGTCCATTGGTAAAGTGTATCATTATTACATTTAGCATATGTTCTTGATAAAAATCTAATTTAAATTTCCTTGGTAAAAGATGTTACTGCTTCTATACACATCACTTCCTATCTAAATTTTCTATCTCAATTAAATAAAAAATTATAAAAGATTATATGTCAAAAACTTTTAATCTAAACACTAGAAGACTATTGACAATGTCATAATCTTTAATAAAAAAAACCCTGTCATCACCAATGATTTTAAATGGATTCTTGATAAATGATATTAAAAGGATACATAAATTATTTAATTCAGCATTTTTGAATATTGTAAAATGAATATAAAATTGTTTTCATTTTAAATTACTTTCATTCATATAATAAGTAATCTCATTATTAAATAGAAAAAATGTAATATAACAAGATTTTGTTTATAGAGAATAGAGTTTTTAATCATACTTAAAACTAAACAGTGATTTTTTAAACTAAGTATTGCATTATTATAATCCACTATTTTATATTTACCTGAGAGTGTAAGACTTCTAATTGAAGACTAAGACAAAATGAATCTGATATAATTAAGAAAATGCTTTTAACAAGAGATATGATGGAACTTATTATGTAAATATGATTTAATTGATAAATATATTTTAAAACATTATTATCTATTTTTAAATTATGATATCCAAACAATATTTAAATTTAGTATAATTTGCACATCATTGTTCAAAAGTAATTTTAAAATATTGCTTTTAAACAATTTTTTATTTTCAAATATTTATTCAGTTGATATAAATATAATTGCTCAAGGAAAATTTAAAACTTGCAGTCATTTAATTTTCTGTTCTTTTCTGCATTACAGTCTTGCTACAGTTATATATCTTGAATTAATTATTTTTATTATTTTAACAGTTTAAATATATTAATCAAATAAAATTAGAAAATTAACTTATAATATAAGGGACAGTGATTTAAAAACCAAACACATGGTGGAAAATCACAGAGTCAGCTACACATTGTCACTGCACTTGTTAAGATACTGTGAAATAAGACAAAGAATGCTTCTGTGGAAGATTCTGAGTTACTGCTGGAATCATTGTTGAATGGCAGCCTTCACATCAAGTCAAACTGTTGACCTTTGAGAGCACATTTCAACTCCCCAAATACATGAATATCACATTGGCACATGTCAGGACTATAGGGAGATTGTGTGAGCACTTCCCATCTGAAAATCTGCAATGTGATCTGGCAGAGTGTGGTCAGATGTTGGGGAGCAGAATGATACCCTCCAAGAGTAGCACAGGGCATTTTGACTTTATTGTTCACTGCAATTTTGTGAGTGTTTCAACATAGCAATTAGAATTCACAGTTGCCCTTTATCCAGGAACTTAATGAGTAGTAGCCCATATTGATCAAAAAGCAATGTTATCATTACCTTTCCTGCACTGTTCTGTATGATCTTGGATTTCTTTGATGATAGGAGTCAGCATGTTTCCACTGACAGCTCTGCCTCTTTGTTTTGGGCTGGCAATGATAGCATCAGGTAATGATTACAGTGACACAGATCCAATAGTGCTGCAATTTCATCCACAGTGAGACACCAGTTACCCAAATCAATTCTTCAGCATGCACAACAATAATGTCCATAGCTTTTTGTGGTTGTCCTGGCCAGCCATTGTCACTGAGGGAAGTACAGTCCTCTAGAAACCATTGTCACCATATGTGCAGTTGTGTCAGACCAATGCAATATCACCATATACTGCTTTCACCACTTATACATTTACCTGCTTCCAAACCTTCAGCTGTTAAAAAATGCATAACAGTCGTCTTTACTGGCTTCTATTTTGATAATTGCCACACTCACCAGGATCATAGCTGCATTTCTATAATTACATATGTTTGGTTTTTAAATAACTTTACTTTAAATTATTCAATATAAATATGTGAAGTCAATCACAAATTTGGTTAAATATATTTATTTCAATATAAAATCAAATTTAAAATAGTTAATTACTTAAATAAAGCACAAAATGCATAACTTTTTCTTATTTAATTAAGGATTGTTTAAAGGAATAATGTACAGTAGACCCCCTATAACGCGGGTTCCTATAATGGAGATTCCTATAACGTGGCAAAAAAATCGCGACAGCATTCGTATAAAGACGCTAAAAGGGACTCGTAAAACGTCGTCACCAACTCGTGTCGCGACAGGATTGGTCGAATCTGGACCAATAGTAGATGAGCAGCCAAACTACTTACACACTACAGAGAGAGTAGGCGAGTAAGTTGAGTTTACTATCATCTGTACAGTATTATATATAAATTAGGTACTGTATATATAATTATATATTAACTTAATTTATTTTAACTTTATTATAATTATATATGGCAGCCGAACTACTTTCCGCCGTCCAGCACCATGCTACAGAGAGTTTAGGCGAGTTGAGTTTACTATCATCTGTATAGTATGTAAATTAGGTACCGTAAGTCTAATACAGTACTGTAATTTTATACATTTCTTGTGAAAAAAACATTTCTTATTCAACGTCCATAAAAATTATTTCTATTAATGATGTCTCCAAAGGTCAACGAATTTTTTGCAGAAAAATAACTTATCAGAAATTGCGCCAGGCGTTGGTGCGCTGCTCCACGACGAAAACAAGCTTAAGCAATGCCGAAGCCAAACGGTGCAGACAGGGTAAGTAATCCTACAATTTTTTATTTATAGCATAGTTTATATGGATTATTCCCAAAAAAATTATACGTGTTTTGGAAATGTTGAGTCAAATTAGTCTAGAATCAATTAATTTTATAGAAGAAAACCTTTCAAACAGCCGTAGTCAGTAAACTTCACACATGTCGGGCTGCGACTGGCTCATGTATTTAAGGATTCCTACAACATGAAATTCTTATAAAGTGGAACGTATCTACCATGTTATAGGGGGGTCTGCCATATAACGTATAATAAAAATGAGACAGACTACAGTAATTAAAAATTTAAAAAAAATTTTTTTATCAAGTCTAAAATCAGGATTAAAAAACAATATCAAATATATTACATATCTTATAATGATCATTATTAAGAAATAAAGGATACGAAGACAACTGTACAAATCATGCAGAGGTTTTGGATTGTCTATTAATCTAGATTGAATCAATTGATGAATATAATGCACTTGAAGTGAATGAACTAATGATTTTCCATCTAAATATTAATTTATTAAAGAATAAATAGTTTATATATAAACAAAAAAATCATTATTTTTGAAAAATTAAATTTTAAACTCACCTCCAGTCTCTTTATCTTCTACTAAAACATCAATATCCAACAATCTCCATGGTATATGTGGACCATCTCCCATTAGTGTTAATGATACCTAACAATATTTTATTCATAAGTTTTAAGAATATACTTGAGATTATCTTTAAACTTTTTCAACTGTTGTTCTTGCTACTTTTGAAAAATAAAATTTTAAATTTTAGCCAATATCAATAAAACTAAACTAAACTTGCCATCAGTAAATCAGATATTTTTATATAATCTAATTTCAGTCCAAAAGAATTTGGACTAAAATTTCATATAAATGTAAATACTGAGTGATAGTAATTAAAGTATGCCTATTCAATTCTGTCTAGAGAGATATTTAATAGTCCAAGTGCAACAAAATATGATATGTGATATTTTAGAACATGCAGAGGGCATTTCTGTAAAAATAAATTACAGTCGACCCCCTATAACGCTGATTCATATAATGTGGATTCATATATCACAGCGAAAAAATTGCAACTGTATTCATATAAAGACACTAACAGAGACTCGTAAAATGCGGTAAAACGTCATCACCGACTTGTGCCATGACAGGATTGGTTGAACCAATAGTAGACGAGCAGCCGAACTACTTACACGCTACAGAGAGTTTAGGCGAGTAAGTTGAGTTTACTATCGTCTGTACAGTATATAAATTATGTACTGTAAGTCTAATACAGTACTGTAATTTTATACATTTCTTATGAAAAACAAAACCTTTAAACAATCCAGCAAATCGTTTTTAATATCTAAAAACGCTTTCGAATGCTTTAAGCGATCATCCTCAGTTATAATTTTGAATCGAACAAAGAATTCAAAATTATGTAAAACAATAATTTAAAAATAATTTAAAAAGCGGTTATACAAATTTATATTAAGATTTAACAAGCTTAAATAATCTCAAAAATTATACAAGTTAATTAAAACGAAATAAAGAACTAAAATAAAATATATACATCCAGTAAAAATTATCTTAATTAACTTTCCACTTATATAAACTACGTCAACTCATCATAGAAGAATTTCCACGCCGATGACAATCCATTGGCATCACTATGATTAATACAGTTTGTGTGCAACTGTGCCTTGTGAATTTCTAGTTTTTTCAGATGTTTCACGGCCTGCCTGGATCTTGTAGCCTTGATGATTGACGCTTGATCCCAAAAGACCTCGATATTCTGCTGTTTGGCAAAAGCAGCAAGCACCGTAGAGTCTATGTTTTTATTCACCGAGTGCTCATGTTCAACAATTTTTTTAAGTTTCTCATGGTCGCTCCTATGTATACCAAATTGGAGTTAAATCTATGGTCCTTTAACAGTATAGAGTATACCCCTGCCATCTCGTTGTGTTTGTAACTGCCTTTATCGTTCCTTAAGAGCCTGTACATGGTGGGATTACGCCTGTAAACTATCCGTATATTCTTATTTCTGGTAACTTTCTTAACCATTCCTTTGAGAAATGGTATGTAATTGAGCATGACTTTTTCTTTCTGCTGATTCTCTCCAAGCGCGAAGTGTCGCTTCTGACAATTTGCAATGAGAGCATCTATTCTTTCTCTATAGTATCCTTATTGTATCGCTATGTTTTGGGTATATTCCAATTCATTGTAAGTGTCGCAGATGCTGGTACAATGCATGTGCGCCCTCCTTATCCAAGAACAAAAAACCGCCAAAGCAGCAAGCACCGTAGAGTGCGTGCTGCTTTTGCCAAACAGCAGAATATCGAGGTCTTCTGGGATCAGGCGTCAAATCATCAAGGCTACAAGATCCAGGCAGGCCGTGAAACATCTGGAAAAACTAGAAATTCACAAGGCACAGTTGCACACAAACTGTATTAATCATAGTGATGCCAATGGATTGTCATCGGCGTGGAAATCCTTCTATGATGAGTTGACGTAGTTTATATAAGTGGGAAGTTAATTAAGATAATTTTTACTGGATGTATATATTTTATTTTAGTTATTTTAGTTCTTTATTTCGTTTTAATTAACTTGTATAATTTTTGAGATTATTTAAGCTTGTTAAATCTTAACATAAATTTGTATAACCTCTTTTTAAATTATTGTTTTATGTAATTTCAAATTCTTCGTTCAATTCAAAATGAAAACTGAGGATGATCGTTTAAAGCATTCGAAAGTGTTTTTAAGATATTAAAAACGATTTGCTGGATTGTTTAAAGATTTTGTTTTTTACTTATTGTAGTTCCAGTAGGAAAGTATTTATTTATTTAATTTCTTGTGAAAAAACATTTCTTATTCAATGGCCATAAAAATTATTTCTATTAATAATGTCTCCAAAGTTAAATTAATTTTTTGCAGAAAAATAACCTGATAAGTTATTTTTCTGCAAAAAGCAACGCACCCGCCATTTGGTGCGCTGCTCTGCGGCGAAAACAAGCTTAAGCAATGACATCGTCAAACGGTGCACACTCGGTAAGTAATCCTACAATTTTTTATTTATAGCATAGTTTATACGGATTATTCCCAAAAAATTATACATGTTTTGGAAATGTTGAGTCAAATTAGTCTAGAATCGATTAATTTTATGAAAGAAAACCTTCCAAACAGCCGCAGTCTGTAAACTGTACACGTGCCAGGCTGTGATTGGCTCATTTATTTAAGGATTCCTACAACACGAAATTCTTATAAAGTGGAATGTATCTACCACGTTATAGGGGGGTTGACTGTATACCAAAACTCACTACTATGACACTTTTAGTATTGCAAGCAACAAATATCTTATTTCCACAAGACAGTCATGATATATAGACCTCAGCAATACAAGTGATACTGCTCAATATAGTCACCATTCTGAAAGTTTAAAGGTAAAGGTTCAATGGCCGACTGTAACTGATCTTCTAATGCTTCTCACATGCAGTGTGATAATTGTCTTTCAAGGCTGCCAAATCTGCACCATTTCCTTGATAAACCATACTTTCTAAATGTACCAAACCAAAAAAGTCACAAGTATTAAGATCAGAAGTAAAAAGTGGTCAGACATTAGGAAATACACAACTAATCACTCCATTATCAGTAAAATGTTGCAGAAACTGCTATATGCAGATGTATAGAGGTGCTCTATTTTGCATGAATGTGATTGACTAAAGGCATTGTAGAACTTACAGCTGAAGTCCAACAAAAGTGCTGAGTATCTCTTGGTAACTCTGGGATATCACAGAGCATGTCACAGGCCCATTGAGACTAGCTTCTTTAAAAAAAATAGGATCTAAAGATAAATGTGGCTGTGAATTCACACCAGACAGTAACTTTAAGTGGAGTGGAATCTGCTGAAAAACATAAGGGTTTTCTGTGGCCCAAATTTGATAGTTACAAGTGTTCACTGTTCCATTAAAGTGAAAGTATGCCTTATCAGTCCACAAGAGCTTCCATAAATACAACACATATACTTCAATTATGGTAAGGAAGGTCAATGCAAAGGTCAATCAAGTTTCCATGTTAGCAGCAAGCTATTCTTGATTGTGGATGATTTTATATGCAAAATAATGCACCAACTTTCTCACTATCTTATACTTTGCCATAACATACACCTAACTGTTGTGCTATTGCATGTGTACTACTGGAGCCTGCAACAATATTCATTAATTGTTCAACAGCAGTGCTGTGGTAATACCTTCAGCAATTTATAAAGTGATAAATTTGCACCCTTGGTCAGGGTGAAATCCGAGATGTCCAGTTTCCTCAAATTAAGTGACTGTTCACCTGAAAGCTTTTGGTGTCAATGGTCCTTGGCATAAATTCTCAAGATGGCAAAATTTCCAAAGTACAGCCACAGCTGATTTCATAAAACAGCTTTACAAAATATGTACAGCTCATTATAGTTAGGTGATGGCCATTGTAGCTGATAAGAATGACATTCAACATTGTGGTCACTTTTATATCTAAAACTTAGCTGTAAAATAAAGCAAAAAAAAAACCTGCTTTTTTCATTGTTTGCAGTGCCAAAGTGTGAATTTAAGTACTAATTTTTTTTAATATTTGCAGTGAAAAATTAAATAATATCTAAAGAAATATATTAAAAATTTAATATTTTCTATTTTGGAAATATTAATAAAATATTATCTTAAGCACAATTTGTTTTGAATAAAATATGAATTTACCTCAAATTCATGCTCTACATGAAATGTTACTCTTCCATTTTCTAAAATAAATAAAAGGTAATTAAATACATTCATAATTATTTACAAAAAATTTAATTTTTTAAAATTTTCTGAATAGAAAATTATAGTATTAAAAATAATTATATTCGTTGAAAATATTTTAAAGTGTTCAATGTATCTGTATCATACTTTGTATATTACAATTATATAAAAACTTTAAATTAATAAAAAATTAATGAAATTCTAATTTATTTATGTAAGATATAATAAATCATGCATTAATGGGAAAAGTTAAAAATCTGGAAGTGCTATTTAATTTAAGTGGTGTCTGTGACATTCAATGGATATCAAAAATTATTTTATATAGGGAAAAATGAATTTTTTGAGAGAGAGACATTTTCAATATGATCAATAATGAATTTTTACATTATTACAATAAATATAAAATAAGATAGAACAAACTGCTAATATAAAGTAAAAAATATAATGAAGATGCTAACACTTTTTGGCTAACAAGCCATCTTTAGGCTTTTATAGTAGTAATATCTGAAAGTAATTATGAATTTTTTAAACTAATTTTATTATTAATACTGTCTCCAGTATTAATAATAAAATTAATTTTAAAATTATGAAAGTTAGGCTGAAATCTACAAAACTTTAAAAGTTGCACTTCATCCTAAAGAGGTTCAAAACTATCACTCAAGACCCTCCTACTTAACTTTGTTCTTTGCTTGGCCAATATGTCTCTTTGATGTTCAGCAATGCAGATGGCCAGCATTCTGGTTGGAGCTACTATATAAGATGCATTTGCATCACTAAAAATAAATGTGGTTTTTTTTTAAATAAAATACAGATCTTTCAAAAAACTCCCATCATTCATTAATAACTTATTGAGACTTAACTTCTTAGTGTCACTGAGCAGAAACGTCTAAAACAAAGAAAAACAAACAAAGAAAAAAACCTGATAATTATTTGCTTTTTGTCCAATATTGTAATAAATCTTCTGAACAGTCATATGTAATTTGCTATCCATTTGAAGGCCTTATCACATAAGTACCTTAGTCCTTAAAATTTGTAGCAAATTATATATAGCTATTAAGAAGATTTAAAAAAACTTCTTGAGACTGGGTTGGAAATGTATGACTAAAACACAACTTTCCTTTCAAAAGATTTTTGCTAATTTCAGGGATACGGTGCAGAATAGATCAATGATGGCAAACCTGTAATCCGTGTACAATTTCAAGGTACCCACATTGAATATTTAGAAAGTATTAGTTTTTATAAATTATAAAAAAAATATTTGATAGCTTTCAAAACTGCATATTTAGTATGAAAGCAAGATTCTAAACCTGTCATGAAAAGTCTAAAAAACCACCAATTATGAACCTCAGATAGAAAAATCATAATCAAATAATCATCATCAGATTTCTCATTAAATAAAATATTTGTTTCTATTATAATCACATTATTATTTTCTTTTCACTTATATAGAATTTGTTATTTTTGTCACATAGGTTAAAAAGCTAAATAAAGTAAAATTTGTAGACATTTTTAGTTATTTTTAATTATTCAAATTAAACATTTAACTTGTGATTTAGAGTTAATAAATTTCAAATTCAGTTTCAACCCACCTTCAGAAAAAATTTGCCATCACTGGAGTAGATAATCTGATAAATGTTAATTTTGGTTTAACATACAAATAAGAAATAGAATAAATAGAATGCAAAATTTTATGCTTAAAAGTTAATTTTACAAACAAAACAACTTGCATTTAAGATTGCATGCCAATTTTAGATCAATTTATTTGGGTGTAGAAAACAGTAAGCAAGTCCTACAGAACAGGCAAAGTCTTACAGAAATGCAGCCAGTTTAGCTGCGTTTCTGTAAGACTTTGACTGAAAAGAAAGCCTTAGAATAATTACAGGCTCCATATTAAAATTACAGTTAACCCCGATGGCAATCTTTTGATAAAAAAATATAAAAATGAAATAGAACAATTATACCATTCATCTTCTAGTGAATACTTTATGGAAGGATAGATGAAATTTTAAAGCTATAAAAAGAGTAATAGCATGAAATGGCATCAGAAGTATGCCTGATGCTATTTCATGCATTGGTGTGGAGAATAAATAAAATAAAAATCACACTTTAATTACTTGTGATTATTAAAGTGTGATTTAGCGTTAACAATCTTACTTCATCACCTAATGCTTGCTGAGAAAAAGTGTTTATTAAACAAATGTTTTCACCTATTATCAGGATTTAATGTTAATAGTGAAGACAATTTATTTTTCTCATAATGTAGAACTTTTAGATTTCTGAAAGTTTGACAAAATGACAGGTTTCATTCCAGTTGAACTTTTATCAACTGCATGTAAACGTTTGCTTCCTTTTGTTCCGCATTATGTCTATTTCCTAAAATTGTAGTAATAAATATTTGTCTTCAGTAAATGAAACAAAAACTAAATGAAAATTTATAATGGAAATACATTAAAAAATATAAAAATCTTGTTTATCATTTCTGACAGATTTTTGTGAAATAATTTTGTGTTATACAGAAAACAGAAATAATTTTGTGTTATATATTTACTATTTATTTTTATTTTGATAAAAACCTTAAATCAAGAAATATGAAAAGAACAACATATGCTTGATTTTAGATTAAAAGAGTTCATTCATTACATAACAGAATTCATGGAAAAAATGCCAATCATTCAAGATTAGAATGTTGGTTTTCCAAATGTTTTTGTTTAACTGTAAATTTTATTGGTGTTTTCAGAAATTAAAGTGTTTTGTCCAAATTTAACTTCTCTTGTGAATTATTTCAGATATTGAACATTAGAAAGCAAGTTATTTCAAATTTTAAAATTTATTTTAAATCAATGTAAGATTACACGTAATCAGTATACTCAATGCAATCAATTCATAGTAAAAAATAAATATATCATTTTTTACAGCAGACTTTTATAGAAACATTAGTAAAATAAATTAATCTAATTAATGATTATCTAATGATTATAACTATACATCACTATAAAAAATTATAAAATAAANATAAATTTTACCAACAGAATATTGGTAAATTAAAAATTAAATAAAGTAGTTTCTAATTAAGAAATTTTTTGATAATAAAATGAAAGAGACTTTTTTCTGTAATACATTCCTAAATACAATAACCTAAAACATTCTGTATTCATTATAAATTCATTCATTTTAAAATTAAATTATAACTTTAATAAGTTATTGAATAATAATGTACCTAGCATGAACAAGAGTTTCTCTAGCCATAATTGCCAAATCATCAGCAGTATTAACAAATAACAAAGACTGTTTGTCCAAGATAGCCATGATCGTCTAAATGAGATAAAACAAATATATAAATAAGTTATAGCCAGAAATATAAATTTATAATTAATACACTTTGTAAAAAAATTTGTAAAATCATATTTATTTGTTATTTTTAATTATTCAAATTAAACATTTAACTTGTGATTTAGAGTTAATAAATTTCAAATTCAGTTTCAACCCACCTTCAGAAAAAATTTGCCATCACTGGAGTAGATAATCTGATAAATGTTAATTTTGGTTTAACATACAAATAAGAAATAGAATAAATAGAATGCAAAATTTTATGCTTAAAAGTTAATTTTACAAACAAAACAACTTGCATTTAAGATTGCATGCCAATTTTAGATCAATTTATTTGGGTGTAGAAAACAGTAAGCAAGTCCTACAGAACAGGCAAAGTCTTACAGAAATGCAGCCAGTTTAGCTGCGTTTCTGTAAGACTTTGACTGAAAAGAAAGCCTTAGAATAATTACAGGCTCCATATTAAAATTACAGTTAACCCCGATGGCAATCTTTTGATAAAAAAATATAAAAATGAAATAGAACAATTATACCATTCATCTTCTAGTGAATACTTTATGGAAGGATAGATGAAATTTTAAAGCTATAAAAAGAGTAATAGCATGAAATGGCATCAGAAGTATGCCTGATGCTATTTCATGCATTGGTGTGGAGAATAAATAAAATAAAAATCACACTTTAATTACTTGTGATTATTAAAGTGTGATTTAGCGTTAACAATCTTACTTCATCACCTAATGCTTGCTGAGAAAAAGTGTTTATTAAACAAATGTTTTCACCTATTATCAGGATTTAATGTTAATAGTGAAGACAATTTATTTTTCTCATAATGTAGAACTTTTAGATTTCTGAAAGTTTGACAAAATGACAGGTTTCATTCCAGTTGAACTTTTATCAACTGCATGTAAACGTTTGCTTCCTTTTGTTCCGCATTATGTCTATTTCCTAAAATTGTAGTAATAAATATTTGTCTTCAGTAAATGAAACAAAAACTAAATGAAAATTTATAATGGAAATACATTAAAAAATATAAAAATCTTGTTTATCATTTCTGACAGATTTTTGTGAAATAATTTTGTGTTATACAGAAAACAGAAATAATTTTGTGTTATATATTTACTATTTATTTTTATTTTGATAAAAACCTTAAATCAAGAAATATGAAAAGAACAACATATGCTTGATTTTAGATTAAAAGAGTTCATTCATTACATAACAGAATTCATGGAAAAAATGCCAATCATTCAAGATTAGAATGTTGGTTTTCCAAATGTTTTTGTTTAACTGTAAATTTTATTGGTGTTTTCAGAAATTAAAGTGTTTTGTCCAAATTTAACTTCTCTTGTGAATTATTTCAGATATTGAACATTAGAAAGCAAGTTATTTCAAATTTTAAAATTTATTTTAAATCAATGTAAGATTACACGTAATCAGTATACTCAATGCAATCAATTCATAGTAAAAAATAAATATATCATTTTTTACAGCAGACTTTTATAGAAACATTAGTAAAATAAATTAATCTAATTAATGATTATCTAATGATTATAACTATACATCACTATAAAAAATTATAAAATAAATTATAATATATATAATCAAACATTATCAATTAAATAATCAAAATATTAGAATATTTTTTAAATAATGAAAATTCAATAAATTGATATAATTCCTCTTTGATTAACAAATTTTGTTTTTTTCTTTTTTAAATTGTAGTTATAAAAATATACACATAATTTTACCTATTCGAAGACTTCTCATTTGAGAAGGAAGATCTGAAGAAACCAATCGATATTGAATGATTTGATCCAAACGAAGCAAGGTTGATTTCTTCTCACTGGGTGTAATTGGATCAGGAGGGACAATTTTATCCTATTAAAAACAATTTTAATATATTATTAATCTCTTACAATTGTTATAATAGCTGTAATATATTAATGCACTCTTGTTGTTTTATTATTTTTTTATGAAANAATATAACATATATTTAACATATATGTTATATTTTCAAAATATAAAACATGAGAAAATATATTATCTTAGCTTCATATTTTCACAATTAAAAGTTATTAATTTAGAAAATATGTTACCGTTTTTAATAATATATTCATTTTAAAAATTGCACATGCTTGCAATTAAATTTAAAAAATTGTGAAAATAAATAAATATTTTATTTATTTATTTTGGTGTAATTGATACATTTATTTCAAATTTTGAAACCCCCAAAAATAAAATTAAACATTCCAAAAAAAACATATCAATATTAAATAATAAGTCATATGATAAAATAAATGTGTTGTTTAGAAATAATAGTACAATTGTAACTAATATAGAAATTAACACAAGTATTTTTTTCAACTTCCAATGTGCCAGAGGGTAAATGAACAGTGAAGTTCAGAACTGTTTTATTTACAAAAGTCAGATACACCTCTCAGCTACTTTTCTATGTAATTACCATTTCAATTTAGCATTTATCATATTGCGGCATCAGCTTTTCTATACCCTCATCAAAAAAAGTTGCCACAGATCACTTAGCCAATCTTTCACACTGATCTTTAACTCCTGAAGAATTTGAAATCCCTGCTGTCCTAACCACCATTTCAAATGAGTGAACAAATGGAAATCACTCAGTGCTAAATTTAGGCTGAACAATGATGATGATCATCCTCTCACTGAAGTACAGACATAGTAACTCCTTGCAAAGTTCAAATAGGAAATGTTTAATCATTCAATGAACAGCCCAGACTTAGTACTAAGTCATTTACATCTGTTCACTAACTTGAAGTGATGGTTAAGAGGGCAGGGATTCCAAACTAACAGAGAGTTGAAGGCCAGCATGAAGAGCTGGATAAGCAAACTGGTGGCAACCTTCTTTGATAAAAATTTAGGAAAGCTGGTGCCATAATAAGACAAATGCCTAAATCAAAATGACAATTACATAGAAAAGTAGCTGGAAAGTGTAAATAAGTGTATCTAAATTTCAAAAGTTAGATACACTTATTTAGTTAGAAAAATTTTGATCTTCACTGTTCATTTTATTTCTAGCACATCAGATAATATTGAAAAAATACCTCTTATAAATCTATTTCATACAGTGTAAGAAAACTACTTGATGTTTTTTGTTAAAAGGACTTAGTTAACTGTAATAATTCATAAAAATCAATTATTATATTTCTTATACTATTAAAATCATTTTAACAATTAATTTCAGAAGATGGCATGTTCTTATTATGAAATTTATTTATGCGATATTCTAATAAAACATTTCAATATAATCTTGTAAATAGTAAAAATAAACTGTGAAAAATTTGACAGAACAATAAGTAAGTTGTTATACTGAGTTTGCACACAATCCACAACTCACTTTGATCTTGATTTACCCACAATCTCAATTGTAACTGTTGCTAATCAAACATCGAGCTGTTTGCACAGGCAGTCTGATTGAGAAGAACCTGACTATTGCAAGCGATGATAAAACTGACATAACTACATGATATGTCATGAACATTAACAAACAAAATGGAAATTTTGGTTAGAAATAATTACTTTTTCTTGCCATATATCTAATAATAGCCAGATCTCATCATCTCTCCAAATATCATTTTTATTTCTCTGTTGATATCCCAACACATAATCCACAGCCATCTTGTTTCTTCTCATGCATGTGGGATTGTGGAAACTCTCTTATGACTGGATCTAGTTTCAAAAACTCTCTTGAATCAATTGCGATTGAACCTCATTTCAGTCGAGAATGAAACGGTTGAGAGAGGTCACATCACGGCATAGTCGCCAACCTTGATCACAATCTAGATTGAAATGCTCAGCGTGAATGGGGTATTAGGATTTAATACATTTTAATATTACACTTTAGAAATATGCCTCTTAATGACAGAAACAGTATTCTTTTACAATAAACAACATATAACAGACTTTTTTAATTAAAAATCAAAAATATATTTTTTTGATTCTTAGACAGTTGCATATTTAAATAAAAATGAGAACAGTTAATACTGAAAACACAGAATATTACATTAAAAAGAACTAAATTTATTTTATTTTATCACACAATTTAAAAGAAATAATAATACATGAAATACTAGCATATCTTATTCAAAAAATTAAAAATCCTAATACCAATAATTGTTTATTAACTAACCAAACTAATTTATAAATACAGTTCATCTCCTGCATTCAACAAGAAACATTAAAGATGATTCACCAGATTATGTAAGTAAAAAATACAATCACAATAAGCCAACACTAGAAGAAAACCCTCTGTAAAAGATACTCTCCTTCAATCAAAAGATTAGTCTGATAATGAGTTGCCATATACCAAATTATTTCTTGGTACTGAATATGAAAAATGTTCTCACTAAAATAAATACATTCCATTCAAAATGATTAAATGTTTAAACTAAATTATTATTGTTACTAACTTAATTAAATTAAAAATTAATTCTTTGTTAAATCATATGTTTGCTTTTATGGTAATCATCTAAATTTACAATTGCTATATTTTATAAATAATCTCTAAAGAGAAAGTAGTTAATTTTTGCATAATTGATTGCAAACTATCTGTAATATAGGGAGAGCTATATGGAGTTGAATATTTTCATAAAGTTTTAAATCAAATTAATTTTACTTCAGAACATCTATAAATTAACAAATTTAATTTTTTTTTTATATGAATAAAAGAATTTAGTTCAACTGCAATAAAAATTTGAATCCTTCAAATTAAACATTAGAAAAAATAAAATAATAATAATAACAACAAATATATGTCACAAACAACAAAAAATAAATCATCAGAATTTTTCCCATTTTATAATAATTTTAAGAATACTACTAATGTAAATCATTACATACTAGAAGTTTTTATTGGAAACTTCCCATTTTAAAACTTTATTTATATTATCATCATAACATATTTTTATTTTATAATTTTAGTGTTTTATATATATATTTATAAAATTTATATTACTTACTCAATTACATTAATATAATGCTTTAAATTTCTGTTAAAAATTACTCAAATTAAAACTTTATTTCTGGAGTTAAAATATGGTAACACACAGAAATAGTTAATAAACCTTCAAATTTCTAAATTTAAATAAATAGAAAAATATTTGAAATATTTTGAAATTTTCAAAAATGTAACATTGAAAGAATACAGTAGGATAAATACATACATTACACTTTTCTACTTTGGAGGCACTTGCAGCCCATTTAACAAGGGCCAATAAACGAACAAATAGCTGGCGAGCTCTGCTTGCAAACTGTACTATTTCTATTTTTCTTTCCATGTCTGTTTTACGTGGCAAGCTGTAAAAATAATTTATGAAAGAATTATTTAAGTTACTTTTCATGAATTGTTTAATTACATTGTGCAGTTTCAAAGTTCTTCATAATAGACAATTTTAACACCAAGAGTAAGTGTGATTTTATAACTTAGATTAAAAAAATAATAAAACTTTTCACAAATTTAATTTTATAATGACATTGTAATTTTTAAAATAAAAAAAAGCATATTTTAAATGTATTTCATGGTATAATATTTTAGATAAAATTTACAATGAGTCATATTACAATAAATTTAGCAACAAAAATAAATTTTCATGTAAACAAATACTCATCAGGTCATATTATATTAATTTTATAACCAAATAAAATTATGGATGAAATAAGTAAATTATATTCTTCAATTTTATTTCATGAAACATCGCCTTTACCAATTTGTACATAGGCTGTTTTTTTTTTCAACCTCCAATGGTTCATAAAACAAAGACAAGGGTAAATAACAAAATGAATTTACAGTGGTGCCTCTTACAACGTACTTAATCCGTTCCAGGTGCATGTCCGTTAAGTGAAACGTCCGTTATAAGAAACGCATTTTTCCATAGAAATACACATTAAAACATATAATTCGTTCCGCAGCATAAAATAACTGTACTGTACCATAAAAAATGAAAATGGAGCAGACACCAATTATGCCGGGTAGTCAGATATTGTGAGGAGGAGGTGGAAGAACACTTTCTTTACAGATTCATACAGATACAGACTTTTTACACATTGCAGCGGATTGTTTTTTAATTAATCGGAGTCAGATTCAGGAGAGGCTACCGGAACTTGCAGGGTCAACTTCTTTTGTTCCATCCTTTGTTTTTGCCCGCTGGTTTCTTGAAAAACATGACCAAGGTGAGTGTTTCTCTTTCTTTTTTAACACCTGTCGGAAATGACGGACAAAGGTGTCATCGTAGAGATCATTGATCCTGTTGGCATCGGCTCTGTTTGGATAATGAGTGTTGGTAAACTCCTGAACCTCTCCCCATTTGACAAGAAAGTTTTTGTCAACTTTCACTCCTGATGATTTCTTGCTTTGTTTCAATTGAAATCATCTTTCTGTTTTTTTTAGAAGCCATGATGCATTATAAATGACTTAACTTGCCAGATTATATGATACGAATAATTCTTTATTAATTAAGATCACTAAACACTTCTACGAGCTACTCTTGCTCCGTTTGTTTTTTACAACCTCTTTTCATCCCGCCAACTCGGCATCTACACAATTACATTTCGTTTATTTGAATCGTCAACATATACTGTATTACATTACATTTAATGTTTATTTAAATCATCAACATATATTACATTACATTTCTACTTCAGATATACTAATAATACATTCTAATAATACTAATATATCCTAAAAATAACAGATTGTCATTGGCAACGGCAAAAGAGTGGAAACATTCGCACTTGTTCGCAGAAAGACCGTTGTTCGTCTCACGTAACTGCCAAACGGAAAGTCCGTTGTTCGCAGCAAGTCCATTGCTCGAGTCACGTAACGGTCAAACAGAAAGTCCGTTATTCGCAGCGTCCGTTATACGAGGCACCACTGTATTACCAAAAGTTAGGTACAAACATGGTTACTTTTAGACATAATCACTGTGAAGATTGAGGCATTTGTCATATCTGTGATCAAGCTTTTCCATTCCCTTTTCATAAAATGTCACTGCCAATGACTTGAGATGGGCCCTAACAATGTTTTGAAGATCATCATTAGACTCAAACCTCTGCTCTCATAGACACTTTTTCTGTTCAGGAAAGAAGTGGAAGTCGCTTGGTGCTAAATTGGGGCTATATGCTGGGTGTTTAAAGGTGTTGAAGACTTCCACCCAGTTTGGAACTTTTTAATGTGTGAAGACTTCCACCTCTTTCCTGAACTGAAAATGTGGCTAGCAGGGCAGAGGTTTGAGACTAATGATGATCTTCAAAACAACATTGTTAAGCCCATCTCAATTCACTGGCAGCAACATTCTGTGACAAGGGGATGGAAAAGCTCATCCACAGATATGACAAATATCTCAATCTTCAAGGTGATTATGTCAAAAAGTAGCCATGTTTGTACCTAACTTTCGGTAATAAATTCATTTTGTTATTTACACTTGTCTTTGTTTTATGCAGGGCTGTGGAGTCGGAGTCATGGAGTTTTGGTGTTTTAGCCGGAGTCGAAGACGTCAAAACATCCGCTGAATCCGACTCCTTTTTACTTACCAACTTGTTATGTATATAAAACAGAAAAATATTGGAATCGTGTCAAATTTGATCTTCCAAGTTTTTTTTGCAAATCTACATGTTTGGAGAACTCCCGAACCCCTCAAAAAAGTCAGTAAAGGGGAAAAATTTGCGCGTGTGTATGTGTTGGTGTCTAATTAGTTTAATTTCTTTATTTTCTGTTCTGAGATATTAAACAATATCTCAGAATGGGTAAAGTTTAAGAAATGAAATGTGGCACTGTAGCTTGCTTATAAAGGGGCATTAATACTATTAAATTTTCGTTCTTAATTAAAGGTCGACAGAGTGAAGACATAAAAGTGGTCATGTGTCTTAATGAATATTTTACTCGTTATTAGCGTTCAAAATTTAAAAAAATAAAATAAAACTTGTCTTTATCCTCAAAGTAAGCTTTTTTGCCATTTTATAATAGTACAGTAAAACCCGTTAAGATGTTCTTGCCTAAGATGTTAGAATGTATATGGGGACATGGTTTAGTTCAACCACTTTGACACTTAATAATTAACTCCTGTGTCCTCATCTGACTCCGATTCTGACCACTCTGACCACAGAAATTATTAGGCTTCAAACAGGGTGAACAAAATCATGCCACCCAAACACAGTCTAACATCCACTCATATAGAAAAAACCTTGAATCTTTTGCATATCTCAAAATTTCAAGGTGTCTCGAGTCCAAAAATGTAAAAATTTGGGAGGGGTCATTTTTTGACCAAGCGCTACACTTTTCCTCTGTTATATATAACAGCCGGAAAAGTAAAAATTATTGAATACATATTTATATATTACTTAAAGAAATATTTTAGCTTTGGAATAAAAAGTTTCTATGCTCTATCTTTATTAGAACTCTATTTATTGAATCTTTTATTCTGAGGTCACGTGATGACGTCAGAATTTCTGGGTCTCTTTCGGTAACAAGTCCACCCCTGGTCGGAGTCGGATGGTAAGGAAAAGTTCGAGTTGGAGTCGGTATATTTTTACATGACTCCACAGCCCTGGTTTTATGGACCATCAGAGCTTGTAAAAAACAGCCCTTGTATATATAAAAATAAAATTCAATTCAATTCAATTTTATCAATCTATTCTAGTATTACATAAGAATGACCAAACTGATTTCTATGAAACTTTGTATTTAGGATAGTCTCGGAAAGGATATAGGCTACTTTTTATTTCCAAAATCAATCTATTTTATAAGATTTGATAGAATTGTGATATTGTTTGCATGTGATTCTTATCATGTCTTTAGCATGGATATAAAGTTTTGCCTGGAGGCCAATGTATGTGAATTAACCCATAAAATTCAAATACAAAAGGCTAATGTGGATAATTAATGGATGAAAGTGGACATCAGGAAAAGCTGATCAAATGAATTTGATTGGTCAGCTTGTTATTTGAGCAAAACATATGCAGTACTGAACACATGACCACCATTGTCATTTTTACTTTCATGGCTCTGTTATAACAGAGGTAAAGTATGGCTTCAGTCAAAAAAAATTATCCCCAGATTTTTAGATATTTGGACTCAGGACCTTGAAGGATTGAGAAATTCAAAAAAAATTGGAGGTTTTTTCTGTATGTATGGATGTTAGTGTATATGTGAGGGGTGCACAATTTTGTTTGCCTTCTTTGAAGCTTAATAACTGCTTTTTGTTGAAAATTTCTGAAAGTTTGCAGGGAGGTTTGTTTATTAGAGGATTAATGCTATTAAATTTTGGTGATTAAAGGTTGAGGGAGTGGGGATATAAAGAGGTCGTGTGTTGTGTCTCAAGTAGGGTCAGACTTAATGATGATTTTACTCATTATTATCATTTACAATTTTTATAAAACTCATCCCTACCCTCAAAATTAAGCTTTTTGTCATTTTATAATAATAAAAAATATAAAAAGACTTTGTAATAAAATATCATAACAGATTGTGCCATCAAATGTTGCCTGGAAAATCAAGCAACTCATTTCTAGATTTTTACTTGTGTCAAACTGTCCCCAAATTTCTTTCAAAAATTTGTTTTTTGCCAGATTATGCTGCACTGGATTTTTAGTTTGTTATATTTTGGATTTCTGAATTGGGTTTTGAAGACACTAGTTTTCCACAAAAATCTCTTGATTTATATATGTAACTAATTTCAAATTAATTTTACCAAATGTGATCTCTATAATTATATTGTATGGAAAGCTTGGATAGATGAGATAGTGAAGTTTAGAATGATTATATTTTATCTGAAAATGAGTCAAAAAAGTCACAATAAATTTAGTGCTAGGAAAGAATAATGAATTGAAGTTTTTACTGTAAATGAATTTCATTAAAAAGTCTTGGCAAATACCAAAGTTAGAAAAGTACATTTTGAAATTTTCATTGACCCAAAGAATTTGATTTAGAGCTACAAAAAACAACTGCTAGTTGCCATTATTTTTCAAAAACAGCACATGGCTTCAATTTTATCACTGATTGGTTTGGCAATGAAGCTGAGAGAAAATTTGACAGAATTTGCTCATTTCTCTGCTGTACTTTCATGTGATGTCAAGCAATTACTGATTACTGATGCTGCTAAGTTGCAAATATGTTCAAACTAACCAAACATGTGCATATTGTGATTTTGGGAGTACATTAACTTTATTTAATATTTATATTATTTTCTTGAGCATAGCTCAGCTTGTTTATTAATTCTAAACAAATTATAAAATATATATATTTATATATGAAGTAAAAATACAAAAACTAGTTTATTATAAAATTACAAGTTATTTGTACACTAGATATAACTTTCTTATAAAAATCAAATTATTAAAATTTTTCCAAATAATAGAGCCATTATAAACATAAAATTACTAAGCAATCATTGTAACATTTATTTGTTATTTGCTGAAATAAGAAATATAATTAAGAATGAATTGATTATGATTTTATCATAATTACTCTCAACACAAACAAAACATTATTATGAGCCTGTACACAAGTTGCCTGCAAGCATTTAAGAATAACAACTCAACCAAAACATTTTTTACATTTTTGGGCTCCTGGAGTGTTCAAAATGTTGAGAAATAAAAAAATTTATAAATACAAAGTGGAGTCAAACTTTTACTGATTACCATATTTTCCCTATGCTATATTCTATAACAACTGGGAAATTAAAAAAAATATTAATTTGATTACTAAAAGCAACCAAAACGTCTAATTGAAAATGTTTAGAGTGAATTTAAATTGTTTTGATTTTGCAAAGTTTTGACTGTATTTCATTTTATTTTTAAAGAACGTATCATCAAATACACTCATAACAGATACACATTTTTTCCAATTTATTTATTTTATATGGCTTTCAGACATGACTATCATCTTAGTAATTCCTATAAAATAACATTTTATTTTTTAATTCTATATAAAAAATGAAATATTTTTGAAATATATGTTTAAAAAAAGCAATGTATTAACAAATTAATAAGATAGAATTTCAAGGAAAGTTTAAATAAACTTTGCATTTCTGCCCAATGTTCAAAACTTAATATAGTATAATGTAATTTAACTTCAAAATCAAATCTGTAAAAGTACACAATTTAATTTTGTTTATAATATATTAATACAATTCCTTTTTCTAAACAAAAATTACCTATAAAGAAATTTTAACACTGGAGTAAATAAATTACCCAACTTCACTGCCTGTAACCGGTCTAGAATTAATCGTTGTTTTCTTCAACGGTTAATTCTAGACTGGAAATTCGAATTCATATAGGGAATTCCATAGCGCCTGAAGAAGAATCACATTAGGTTAGAAAACGTTTGCAAAGTCCTCTGCATTGGAGAAGAAGAATACCGGTTACAGGCAGTGAAGTTGGGTAACAAAAATTAACTATCTTCAAATGCAGAAATTCATCTAAATAATTAAAATTTTAATGCAATTTTTATTTATTAACTTTAATCACAACAACAATACCTACCAACATGATTACCGGTGTTAATGAATACTCTTGACGAACCTTTGTCCGGTAACGTTTAAAATTCATGAAACAAATTTTAAACGTTACCAGACGTAAAGGTTTGTCGAGTGTGTTCTTTAATCACAATTTGACATTAAAAAAAAAATTTTTTTAAGTAAAACTTACAGTTCAGCCAAAACTGTGAGTTCATGATAAGTTCTTTGCAATACAAAATCTATAAGCCTTCCAAGAGATATATTTCCACCTCCAGATGGAGGAGGTCCTACAACCTGCATGGCTGCTATTGGAGTTTGACGCCCTTCTATTGGTCTGGGAACCATACTGTCTACTCCAATTTATTGCTGTAAATAGATATAAACATTTATATTAGCATGTATATTAATATTATATTTTATCAATTAATATTAACATTTCTTTGAAATATATAAATTTATTTAGAAGACAAGCTACTTTGTTATTAAAAATTATATAATAATTCTTAATTATTATTTTCAGGTTTTAAATGTTGGCTTAATTAAGATTTTTTTCATAAAAGCCTTTTGTCTTTGGAAGTTTCACCAGAAATTTCTAATTTCTACAGACATTGTGATAAGATCAACAAACATTTGAAAAAATTTTCATTAACTAATAACAGAATAATAAATTAGAACTGTAATCTACAGAGTGGCATACAAAAATGTTTAACAATCCAAGAAGCCATATTTTCTTTTTGAATTAAGGTGGAGAGATGAATAATATACTATTGAATTTTTAACCTAACATTTTTTCAATTCTTCCAAAGAAACTGATTAAATATTTACTTCTCAACACACAAGATTACAGTGCTAAAAGGAAAAAACACCTAAAAAAATATCACAAATTGTCCTTGCATCAGAAAAATTTGCATTATTATATTATATTTGTTCATCAAAAACTTCTATAAACATTTACATGACCAAAACTGATAATAACTAACCTCTAGCAGAGAATATGATTCCAATGTGATCACACAAGAGTGTACAAAGCAAACATAGGCATTAACTAGTTGAGAAATTTCCAGGTCAACTCACTGATCTTGGTGACTACAGAACAAATATTTCTATTCAACACACTAAAAGTAAATTTTTAGTTAAAAACAAGTAAAATTATACTCTTTCTATTTCCGACTTCGAGGATTCTATGATTTCTATTCAATATTGTCAGGATCATATAAGAGTATTGATTCGATCTCCTCTTCCAGCGTATATAATCTAACTACTTAACCATCGACGGTTATTACAACGCCGGCTGGTAATACGCCTTGCCGGGGCTTGCGATGGCCGGTTGAGAGCCGTATGGGAAGTAGGACGTGGGCACTGAATGTGTCCCCAGCCGGCGTTGTAATAACCGTCGATGGTTAAGTAGTTAGATTATATACGCTGGAAGAGGAGATCGGATCGGAGGTCCGGGTAGCGTAACTGGCAACGCATCTGCACGGTAAGAGTATTGATTGTTAGTAGACATTAAATTCAAAATGTTTATTTAGAATTGTGGGTTGTATGCACAGTTTGAAAAGAAAAGCAAGAAATGCATGAAAAAATGTTTGAAGCTGAATTTGAATTTACTTTTCAAAGTGTCAAGATATGTTTTTGTTCCGAGGGAAATTTGAGTATCAAATTCAAAAAGTAGCAAAAATTTTAGGATATCACTACATTGTCTCACTTCAAAAAAAAGACCAATATAACTGAATACAAACAAAATTGTCTGTTTTATCTTTAATTAAAATTCATTTTCAAACAATTTTCGTGTTTTATGACAAAGATCTATGAGAGCTATGATCCACTGGGCAAAAAAAATACAGATTGAGGAAAATAATTCTGGTATATGACTAATACAGTGGAACCTCACTTAATGAGCATAATTTGTTCCAGAATCTTACTTGTAATGTGAAACACTCATTAAGTGAAACAATTTTTTCCATAGAAATTAATGTATTATAAAATACGATAATACGATACAATTAAATATCAGAAATTAAATAATTTGACTAGAGGTAGGCAATTATACTGCCATCTTGTATTAAATTTAATAATTATAAATAAATAATTTTTAATTTAGATGTTTTTAAAATTTAATTTGGAATTGGTCATTAAATTTAATACGAGATGGCAGCATAACTGCCTACCTCTAGTCAAATTAATTAATTTCTAATCTTTAATTAGTCTTTACATAGCCCAAGAATTTGGCATTTTGTTTGGCATGTTTATTATATAACAGGTGATGGTTGTTGATGTTTATGCATAATATGTGTGAACACAAGTTTAGAAAAATGTTTGATCACAAGCAACACTAAGATGCTAGCAGAATGAGTGCTAAACACAAATTGATGGAGCATGTGCACAATCTGGGATTTCCCCTCTCCTCGTCACTCATTATACGAAACATCACTTTATTTTCTACAATGTTTATTTTTGTTTTTCTCATTATGCGAGGTGTTCATTAAGAGAAGTTCCACTGTATAATAATAGATATTTTATATGTAACAAATATTTTCATTGAATGTAAAATTCAATCAAGCAATATAGTTATTGGGTTGAACCAAAAGTTTGTTCAGTTTTTAGAAAGAAACAAAATATACTATTTTGAAATAAATAAAAACCTTTAATCCACAATGCATTCACCCTTCTGTTTGATAACCTTACACCACCTGACAGGTAGTTTCATAATTCCGTCTGTGTAGAAGTGGGTGGGTTTCTGATTGAAGAAATTATCGATGTGATTTTTGATACCTTCTAGAGATTGAAATTCTATGCCATTTAAAAAATGAAATATTTTTGAAATATATGTTTAAAAAAAGCAATGTATTAACAAATTAATAAGATAGAATTTCAAGGAAAGTTTAAATAAACTTTGCATTTCTGCCCAATGTTCAAAACTTAATATAGTATAATGTAATTTAACTTCAAAATCAAATCTGTAAAAGTACACAATTTAATTTTGTTTATAATATATTAATACAATTCCTTTTTCTAAACAAAAATTACCTATAAAGAAATTTTAACACTGGAGTAAATAAATTACCCAACTTCACTGCCTGTAACCGGTCTAGAATTAATCGTTGTTTTCTTCAACGGTTAATTCTAGACTGGAAATTCGAATTCATATAGGGAATTCCATAGCGCCTGAAGAAGAATCACATTAGGTTAGAAAACGTTTGCAAAGTCCTCTGCATTGGAGAAGAAGAATACCGGTTACAGGCAGTGAAGTTGGGTAACAAAAATTAACTATCTTCAAATGCAGAAATTCATCTAAATAATTNGTCAGTCGTCCTCCAAAGTTCGTCCGCTCAAGAATTTATACCGTGCAAAATATCGTGCATCCGCCGACCTTATCATAAGTATATCTTACCCACCTAAGTGCCTCAACACCAGTCGGATACCTCCCTCCGAAGTTGCTCCTGTTACCTGAACACTCTAAATATCAAGAACATTCCATCCAACACCCCAAGAATCCTGACGGAGAATCATCCAGTCATCAATCCTCGACTTCTCTATAAGGTATTTATCCACACGCGAATATCCTGTAACTCTCTCTCTCTCGCGACAGTTAGATTCGATAATCTAGGGATATAGAATATGGATATATATATATCAATCCAAGATGTCTATGATCGTATATCATGTACTCCTGCTCGTTAAAATAAATTTGTTATTGTTTATTAATCTGGAATCGAGTGAATCACTTCCTCGTTTCTCTCTCCTCACCTCTACTCCGAATCCAAGCGCTCACACGCTACCGCTCGCGAAGCTTTAGACTTAACGTCGCGAGTTCCGAGTCCCCTAGAGGCTCGGTGGTGTCATCCTGACAGGGCGCCAAAGAGGTGCCGACCCCTCGGTCACAGAGTATGCTTGACACACACAGAAAATTAAATTACATATGTACAATAGCTGTATAACAGGGATATCGTATAAGTGAAATTAATGCTCTTAATGCTAAATTTTGTAATCAAACAAATAAGCAAGCTACAACGAAGAACCAAGGACGAAGAGTAGTTCTCAACTATATACTTTCCTACAATCGATGATTAAAAAATTATCTCACAAGAATAATTTAAGAGTTATTTATCGTTGTAATCCTACGATTTATAGAATTTTACGAAATGATAAGAAGAAAGGAAACCGCCGTTTCCTTTAATTTAAGTGACCGCCGTTTTAATTCAGATCTCGTTTACGTTGGTGCCACTATGAGACTTTTAAAACAGAGGCTTAAAGAACATAAGTATTCTATTACTAAAAACGTGGACAGCACCGTCCTTGCAGCCTTCGCTAAACATCAAGATATTAGTATTCATTGGGACAAAGCATCCATAATTAGGACAGCCACCAACAAACAAGTACTTAAACATATTGAAAAACTTGAAATTTACAAGGCGCATGCATATTAACAAAGGATTCTTCAACCATAGAGACGCAGAAAGTCTGTCCTGCACATGGAAATCTTTTTACCATGACGATTAATTTTCTTAATACTTTATTTAATTTAATTCTTTACCACGATTAATTTTTATTAATATTTTATTGTAATTTAATTTTGTTTTTTACGTTTTATTTTATTTTGTAGTAATTAATTTCAATTTTTAAACTGTTGTATTGCTTGCATTCTATTTTACGTTCGTTTTAGTTTTAAAATGGTTTAACTGAATAAGACAATTAAATATAGTCGAAAACATTTTTATTTTTATTAAATACTTCGTTGCTGGAAATACTAAGGTGTTTGATTATTTTTAACATACATTATTATGCAAATTAATAAAAAAAATTAAAGTAAAATCTACTTATTTTGGTCACCTGTTTCCCTTTCCTTATTTACTCTGTTAAAATGACCTTGTTTAATGCTGTTTCATTTAGCACTTATTTGTTGTCTAGAAAAGTATCCCCCGTGTGAGAAGCTGGAGGCAGAACGAAAGCCTCCATTTAAGATTGAGAATTTTCTCTAACTTTCGTATAACACATAATGCAGTTAAGTTATTGTTATGTGTGAAAAACAACACAGACTGCTTTACATGCACTTGAGAACAGATAACAATGGAGAAAGTAGATATACTGACAGAAGTGTTTATTTTCCCATTGATGATACATTGGCAAATGCGTCTCAGCTATGGATTCTGTCACAGGAAAGACTTCTCACACCCCCTTGGAAAAAGACATTTGGATATAAAGGGTTTGCTCCCGAGTTTAGGGTGCGGACTCACCTGATCGTCTACAACAGCGATGTAGACGATCAGGTGGTACGCGTACCCCTAGGGGTATGCGATAGGTCGTTTAGGGGTACAGAAAAAAGTTAGTTATTATGGCAGAAAAAATAATATATTATGTATCACAAACTAATAGTATTAAAAAATTATTAGATAAAAAATATTCCTTGCAACAATCACAACTTTATTATACATTTTTTCTTTTAGTTTTTTT